GTCATTTGCAAAATTATTTTGTTAAAAAACATTCTGATTGTTCACACAAGTACCCTGAAGTTGACATTAAAAAGATGCTTGAGTTTCTGATTGACAATATCTATGTGGTTTTTGGAGACCAGGTCTTCCAACAATCTATTGGAATTCCCATGGGTACCAATTACGCCCCGTTATTAGCAGACCTTTTTTTGTATTCATATGAAGCAAAATTTGTCCAAAATCTTGTACGTGAAAAGAAGAAAACACTTGCTGTGGCCTTCAACTCGACATTTAGATATATCGACGACGTACATGTGTATTGTCAATTAACAATGGCTATTTCCATTCTTATGTCGATACGATATATCCTGGTGAACTTGAGATAAAAGATACCACAGAGTCTGACACATCTGTTTCATATTTGGATATTTTACTTGAAAAAGACGTTAATGGTAATCTAACAACCAAGCATTATGATAAACGTGATGACTTTAACTTTTCAATCGTCAACTTCCCTTACTTATGCAGCAATATACCTTCTTCACCTGCATACGGGGTATATATCTCTCAGTTGATTCGATACGCAAGAGCATGCTCTACGTATGTACAATTTCTAAAACGAGGTAAATTGTTGACAAATAAGTTGATGAAACAAGAATATCAGCTGTCTCGTTTAAAGTCATCATTTACCTAAGTTATATGGTCGATACAATGACCTTGTCAGCAAATACAATTTATCATTGAGTCAAATGCTGACTGACGTTTTTCATACTAATTGTTAGGCCATTATTTACACACTGAATTGTCGACGGATTTTTCCGTTATTTCCCGATCATGACAAGGAGCACACGGCGGGTGTGACCGGTCGGCAGGGGATGCTCACTCCTCCATGGCACCTGATCCCACCTCTGACGTTTGGAGGTCCGTGTTTGCTCTGCTCCTATTTTGTATTGATTAATGGACTTTTGAGCTTGAATACTGTTCGTTATCTCCATATATTTCATTGTGGCCTTTGAGCAGTGAGGGATCTTTTTCGTGCCAGCACCTACAGCGACACTGAACCTAGGTTTATACGGTCTCATCCGAAGGACCGGTCTCCACGTCGAACAATGGTCTCGAACACGCAATGTAAAGGATCTAGTCCTTTCGCCGCGACTCTTGATCTAGAGCAAACGCTTTAAGCACTTAGCCACGAGGGCAACAAGATATGAATGAGTTTTACGTTTAAATTGATTTCGATTGATTGAAAATTTAAGGTTCGCCTGTGATAGGACTTTAATTTTGACAAAATAAAAAACATTAAAACGAACAACTTTTCAACACTTTATACAACCACTCCCCACGATAGTTTTAAGTCCAAGTTCTACTTCGTAGACAGGTGCTTTTTCAATCAAAACGGAACTCGTAAATTTACTTTTCTTGTCATTGATTATTTGCAAAATTATTTTTAAAAAAATTCTGATTGTACACAAGCTCATATTAAAAAGATATTTGAGTGTCTGTCTGTCAATATCTACGTAGAGTGGAGATCAGATCTTCCAACAGTCTGTCGGAATTCCCATAGGTACTAAATGCGGCCCGTTATCAACAAACCTATTTTTGTGTTCAAAACTTCTACATTAAAAGAATTATCTCGCTGTGTGCCTCATTTCTACATTTAGATATATATCGACGACATTTTCTTAATTAAAATATTCATTTTCATTCATACTTTGATTTGATATATCCCTCTGAACTCGAATAAAAGACACAACTTCTCTTTCATATTTCAATATTTTACTAAAGTAACCTATTGGCAAACTAGCAACTGAACAATATGAATAACGTGATCACCTTAACTTATCTATCGTTATCTTCCTTCATTTATGTAGTAATGTACCATTATCATCTGCATATGGAGTTTATATATACCAGTTGATTCGATACGTAAGAGCATGTACTTCAATTTCTAAAACGATGACAAATAAGTTGATGATGATACAAGGACATCAACAATGTTATTTAAATTCGAAATTTCGCTAAATCGATGGTCAATACAATGTACTTGTTTGTAAATACAATCTGTCATTAAGTAGAATGTTGGCTGAAGTTTTCATAATGAATTCTCTACGGATTTCCCCGATCATGACAACGCAGCACAGTTAAGGTGCCAAATGGAAATATCAGCGAATTTTTGAGATAGAAAATACATTCTTTACAAGGATGGGTGTTTCTTTTTAGGACTTTACTATTATCGAACAAATGCAATGTGGTTGAAAACTACATGTTGAGGACGATTAGATTTCTTATTTAGACTTGTCACGTGATGTGGCAGTCACGTGATTTTAGCAAATATACCTGAAGTATTGAGGTCATCTATAAATTCTAATATTGCAAGGGCATAACCAAGTTAAAAATCTAAGTTTAACATATAATTATTTTCAACACTCTTTGTAGTTTGTGAAATGTGCTGCGAACCTACATAGATTCTACTATCTATGTACTAAAATTACATTTGTTAGACCGTATGTTGAATATTTTGCTGGTCAAGTTCATTAAATATAGATATAATTAATTAATTTGCAAGATTTCAACAGGTTCGCAGCACTTTTCAAATATCTTCATACTTCTTGAGTTTATGTGTAAAAGCTTGTCATAATTCATTGAGGGTATGCCCTTGCAATATATCGATTTATCACGGCCCTTCTATTACCCTTCAATGAATCTGCATACAAATATACGACAGTATCGCTTATCTAGGGAATGTACGGGAAGTATATGAATAAAATCATAAAATAGACATTGCATCCAAGTTAATGGCCTTTTATATATCTACAATTTATATTTTATTTAATTACAAAATACATTTTTCATTGTATAAATATAACTTGATCCGCCTCTCACTGCATACAAACTGCGTCAAATTTTACGATATGACCTCACATTGACAAGTGCATTGCGATCGGTGAATTGTTTATATATTGCTGTGTGGGATTTAACCAACGACACTAATGCATGCACTTCTTAGTGTTGATGTAGTTTAAAGCTATTTAACAGTTTGAAATAGCAAATCATTTCATTTTGTGGTAATTTGAAGAACTTATATTTTTGTGTGATGTCATAGTAAGCATTTCCCGTATAAATTAGGCCCCGCCTCCTTACTGCAGCCTTTACTGTGCTGCGAAGGAGCACAAGGCGGGTGTGACCGGTTACACTGTCATGGCACATGGTCCTACCTCTTTTATTTGAGGTCTGTGTTGGCTCTGCTCACAATTTATATCTTTTGAAATGACTTTTGAGCATTTTATTTTCCTCCATATGTTGACTAGATATATTTCGGTTAACTCAAAATTGATAAGCCATATAATCTGACATATCAGAATCATGTTTGGATGATTTAATGAATATAAACATTAATGACAAACAAACAACTAAATTATATGACTAACGGGTTTTCAGGTTTTCCATCGTCAGCTTCCCATATTTATATAATAATGTTCCATTATTACCTGCAGTCATGATAATTATGATTATTATAATGAAAGCATACTGTAAAAAAAATTGATGAGATTTGATAGGTGGTTGCCACGTCTTAAATAGGCAAATTATATATGCATAAAACATTCAAATCAATTTTTCTGGAATAAATTTGCATAAAAAAGTTGTTCAATCGACAACCGTATGTATAGAACGTTAAAAACATGTTTCATGGCAGAAAGAAAACGTTGAATGATGAATTGGAGGTGCACAAACCGGACAGTTTTACATCTCTTATAAGTAAGCTTATGCCCAATTTTAACGATCTCAGGTTCTACTGATTTGTAGATCTTTAATGAATGTATTTATGTATAATATAATATGATTCCGTCAGCAAATACAATTTATCATTGAGTCAAATGCTGACTGACGTTTTTCATACTAATTGTTAGGCCATTATTTACACACTGAATTGTCGACGGATTTTTCCGTTATTTCCCGATCATGACAAGGAGCACACGGCGGGTGTGACCGGTCGGCAGGGGATGCTCACTCCTCCATGGCACCTGATCCCACCTCTGATGTTTGGAGGTCCGTGTTTGCTCTGCTCCTATTTTGTATTGTTTAATGGACTTTTGAGCTTGAATACTGTTCGTTATCTCCATATATTTCATAGCTAATGTAGTCTATAATGAAAAACTACTAAAAGTCTAGAGAATTTTAGAGTTTAATATCTTGGCGTTTTATTGAACGCTGAGTTTATATTACGTAAATGAGTATACCCGAAAAATTCCGAATACGAGCGTTCAATATCGAATGCCCTGTTGTAAAAAAAAATGTCGTTTTGTCAATTTCTTAAAGGCAAATTTATGAGAGGTAGCGGCAGCTAAGTAAGATGTGTTTATTTTCACACAAAATTGAGATTATTTATTAATAATTTAGTACGTATTAGCCTCAATAAAACCTCAATAAGCAAATCATAACGCTTGGTAGGGTCACTGGAATGATGCGAAATTGAACACTTACAAGACAAACTTTAATTTAAATACCGATACTAAAAAAATCTTATTAATTTGAGTTATTTAACTGAAATAATTAATATAAATTAATGGGAGATGTTTAGCTAGATAATAAAGGAGTTATTAAACTTATATTGGTGAATATTGGCTCGTGCATTGGCGCAAGCTCTTGGATTTGTACAGCCAACTCGTGCCAATATTCACCAATATAAGTTCAATAACCCTATAATACTATCTATGTATTCAATCAATTAGATCAATATATTATCTGTGTATTTAATCAATGAGATCAATATAGTGTCTGTATAATAAAATAAACTTTACGAGTATAAAGATATAACCAGATACGAAAGAGCATATGGTTTTGCTTAATATACCCAAATATATATAAACCAATTTTAATCCCCCAGAATTCTAAAATTTATCGGAGATAATGATTCCACTGCATGCATAACAGATTGATTAATAAGACAGTTTATTAATTAATGTACCAAGTACGTATGAAATATCATACAAATCAGTATTTTAAATAATAATTCGCCCTAATTCAAATTAGTACCTTTTGCAAATTTGAGTATTGACACAAAATATGCAAAATAGAAAAAAATTAAGTCTCTTTAAAATGAACATCCGGTAATGATTAGGACGGCCTTCTGACCGTCTTTTTTGACGTGTTCTTATTTCTTTTCCTCCGGTTTATTTTCAATGCTGACAGGCGTTTCCTGTGATTCGCTAGAAGTGATGTGTTTAATGGAATTACTTGGCTTGAATCCTATGCTTCTAAGAAAGTTGCCTTGGTTTGAATGTACCTGAGTGTATTTATCCTTGTCATATATTTTGTCATTTTTCAAAATATCACCATTGACTTTGTGATTTGTCAACCTTTCATCTGATTTTATATTCCCTAATCCCTCTTTATTCCCTGGTCTGTCGATTACGTTTAAGTTTTCGAATGGTAACGGTCCCCTAGTCTCAAAGTACCCTTCTCCGCCTTCCTCGGTGTCGTCTGCAACTATAAGACAGAAAAATGGTCAATAAAGAAAATGACTCACGATTAATTAATTGTCATTTTCAATTATTTACTTGTTTTTTTTCAATCAATTCCATAATTTACAACAAAATAACTTTGTTTAAAAATTTTAAAATTGTAAATTTTGGACTTGCAACGTGTCATGCAACGGCTATGCTGACAAATTGAATAACGTTCTTAAGCACATTATGAAATCTTTTCTGCATAGCATATTTATATGCCGTAAACACTAAGGCATGAACGTTAACAGATACTACATGTATTACACAGAATTTACAAACAACTTTTTCCCCTCAAATTATTTCTGATTTTTTTTTATTTTGGTTACTCAATGTACATAAAGAAAAAGGCTTTTGGATTGAAATCTAGTTAAAAAAAAATAAACATCAGATATAATCACACATTGAACATACCACATGCTGAAGAGAGATTTCCTGTACATTTTGTGGATGTTTTTTCCTCCAAAGTCACACCAAACGATTGTCTGTTTTCGAATGCACGACTGCCTTGAAAACTTCCGCTGTACGAATCTCGACTTCGACTAGGGGTGGTCCTCATGACCCGTTCCTTGTTGTTCTTCTCAGGGCGAAAAATCACAATATATATCTTAGTTATAAAGAGACATAGTAAGCAAGCTGTACCGTGAATGATCAACGATATGGAAAGGGACATAACTTTGACAAGTTTATTTTCAGAAAAGGCATATAGAGGAATAAATGCAATCCAGAGTAAAAAAGAAGTGAAAGAGCAATACATTATCTCATGGGAATCGTTCATACCATCCGGAAGCTTTCTTGTTTTAATTGCAAATACCAAACAAGCAATCATTAACAAGAATGAGAAGGATAGGTTAACGAAATAGCTGAAATTATTTAGATCTGCACATGACAGATTACCAAGCGCTTCCTCACGTGTAACGGAGAAGTTGACTTCTGGTGACGGAGGATCCCGTATACTCCAGAAAACTAACGCAAGGAGATGTACAGCTGAGAGCGTCAGTGATATAACGAGGGCTGTCTTCATAGTACATATATTTCTGTTGAATACTCTTTGCCCCTGAATTGGTTTGTTCCTCATAGATGATTGTATATCAAAGGCTCGATTGTAGACCATCAGTTTCGAGAAAATTGACGAGTACGCCATTGTGTAACTAAGACCTAGAAACACTCTGAAGAAACCACACGAAGCTAAAGAGGGTTCAGTTACAAGAATGAATGGAGAGATGTAAGAGAAAAGGATTCCAATCAGGAGGACTATACTTGTCTCAAAACCAGTGGCCTTCACTATGGGTGTAGTTCGTTTGACGATAAAAACAACAGACACAACAAAACAAATAATGATTCCTAGAGTGGATAAAACAGAGATCACTATAATGAACGGATTATCGTAGTGAAAATAATCAACAGGAATAGCCACACAAACGTTCTGTGAAGGGCTGGATGTCCAACCAGAGTTGATATCACACGTCTGACAGTTGAAAGGATCAGAAGTATTTACAATTTCTGTGTAGTCACAATCCTTGCACTCCCAACAACAAACCTCGCTTCTACTCCGAAACTGACCATTCTTACAAGGCAGCGAACACACGGAAGCGGTGTATTCAGATCTGTTTATTGTTTTCCATATCAATCCCTGTCCTAAATCTGAAAAGAAGTATAATATAAAATAAATGGTCTTTTAAGGATTATTTCCCTTTGTACACAGAGTGTTAAATAATGTAGATCATCTTTACATTTGTACAGGTGTACAGATTTTGGCGTAAATAGATGAAAAACATGCAATGTTGAGTAATTCATACAATTTCCCATTTCTATCCATTTATAGTCATTTTGCTGCCTCTGGTATTGTAACACACTATATCGGATTAGACCGTCCCGGCCATTTACAAAGTGGAAAGTCGTGTTGAATGGGTCTGATGTTTAAACACAAACAAAAGCAGAAAAATGTAAGTTTATATGTTTATAAGAAAGAAGTGTTTCAACCTTTTTCAGCAATGTTTTACAAAGAAAAAATGCATCTTAAATGTTCTTTGCTTTGTTTTAACACTAAGAATAAATCAATAATTTTTAACGATTAAAATCGATACGCTATACTTGACTGTTCACTTTCTTTAGACTAACAAAGAATTGATGCTGAGCATACGTTAAATAAAATACCAGAGATAGAGGTGTTCTTTTATGATGATAGTTTGTCCCCTTAATTTTATTGAATTAAAAATAAAAAAATATGGTCTGATTCCTTTTGCAAACCTTAACCAACACGTACTGAACACAATAGCAAGTACTTCAATGTTTCTTACTTGAAACGTTGGACAAATATTGGTGGAGCAATGCTCCTGATAGGCTAGTTTTCATGTTCATACAAACATCTTTATTTCCTCTACAAAGTAAAGCATGAATAGCCTCCAAAGCACTGCCAAAAGCGTATACAGCATTTCGGACATTGTAGACTGTTAAAAGTTCTCTGAAATCTAGCCAGAAATAATTTTACAATAGTGGGGGAATTATGCCAGATTGTTGCATTTGTAAGTGTTTGATATTTTTCGTACGTCTTCACAAATTTAATGCTTTATTCAAAACAAATAAATACTTTTAATTCATTGTAATTTTTATCCTTGCATGATTCAAATTTCATCATAAATTTCTTTTATGATTGTGATGTTTTTAATATCACAGAACATCATCAATGTTTGTATTCTAGGTCAGTTTATTTCCGATTTCTGTGTTTTTGTTTATCGGTAATGATTTGCTTTTCATGTATCAATCTCTAACTTCATTGTCATTAAGGTAGTCTGATCCACAGGTTCTGAGAATAAGCAATTGAAAATGCTCACAAAATGACTCTGAATTCAACGGGTAATGAATATTTACCCAGTTGATAGTTCTTCAAAGCTCATCGTTATTGTTAATTAAATTACGTAGAGAAAATTATCAAATCTCTATTTATTTTGGGGGAACATAAATGAAAGCACCAGTTATGCATTTCTAATTAAAAATTGATCAATAAGTTTTTTTGGTTTTTATCTTTTTTTTGGATGGGGGGGGGGGGGAGAGAGAGAGAGAGAGATATAGGTATTCAGAAATTTGGAAAAAATGCAAGTTTTTAATACGAATAATTTTTTAAGTACTTCTTTTAACTTCAATTGTATAATCTTTAAATCATATTGAGATGCCTGAAATGAAAATTCTTGCAAGAAAATATTTCAATTTCAAGCTTGCTTTTTTTTTTTTTTTTTTTTTTTTTTTTTTTTTAGAATTTTTTCAATTAAATGAAAATATTAAGAATTATATTTCCTGGCTTAGAAGAGGATTATTTTAGCTAACTTTGTTGTCTTATCAATATATGATTGTTTGTTTGGTGTTCTTATTTTTTTTGTCTTTGTATTGACTTCTGATTTTGTTATCATTTTCATATCCTGCCTTTTATCTGGTCATTGTTTAAAACATATGATTATGTAATTATTGTATTCATCTCTGATTTTGCAAGCACTTCATTTGCCTATTGACCAGTTCTTATATCATTGATTATTATCATTGTACCAAATTCTATTTGTATCTTTGACTTTGTTCTCTTCGCATTACCTTTGATTTGGATTCCAGAACAACTATTGTTCTTGTCAGTTAAAGAACAGTTGTAATGCTGTCTCAAGTATTCACCAAACCAGGGATTCGGATTCCTACTTATATTAATTCTAAAAGCATAAGAAAAAGTAATCACACTGTAAAACCAAATCTTACAATTTTTATCAATACTCAATACTTAATAAAACGTAATATCCATTTGGGTTTTCAGCCGTATTTTGTCTGATTACTGCTCACAAGAGAGACTTACCTTCATAATCTAAAGATTATAGGGTTAATTATGAAATTTTACCCATGGTTTTAAAAAACAGTTCTGACGTTGTTAGATTTTTTTTTTTACATAAAAATAAGATAAAACTATACGAAATAATTCAGCAAATATAAACCGCGAACACTTTCCTTATTGGTTGTCGGTGAAATAAACTTAAAAAGCATATCATGATCGCAATCCATGCAAATATTGATTGTTTTTACTCTTTGAAGTACTCAGCAAATCCCGGATAGCGTCCGGTTTCAGGACTAATTCCTATGGCTCCTTCAATAGTTTTTTGTCGTCCAATAGGTGGCTCTTTCCCTATCCAAGCGTCACCTCCGATCCAAACGACGTCATTGCTGCTATAAGATTTATCTACTATCTCCATAATTCTATGCGCCAGAGCATATTGAGTGAATAAAATGGCAACGACTTTCCCTAAAAAATTATTTTAATATTTTAATTATTCTTTGCAACGCAGAATGTTTGTTATGGGTAGTAAAATGTAGCATTTTTATTCCAGTAAAATATGCTGAAAAGTGGATTTCAAGTAAAAGGCAGCTTGGTTATCACCATCTACAAATAAAACGTTTTCAATCTGCTGAGTTACAATATCGTATCATAACAAGACAATTTGGTGTGAGGGATGTATAAAAAGTTTTAAGTAGCGAGTGTCAGACAAATTAAAATCCTAATGAGTACCCAAGATCATTTTTGCTGCCCAGCCCTGCCATTGCACTGCATTATAATATTAATTACCTACATATTTTACCATTAAAGGAACTTGAACAATTATTTTGATCGAACTGTTTGTCTTCAAAAGTGAAAGCGTCTGTACTTAATATTCTATAACTCATGGAACAAAAAAAAACAAAACATTCATACCGAGGTGAATAAATGTCATCTTAAAATGAAATTTGAAGAAGACAAAAAATGATCATGCTCAAAATTCCATTTTAACAATACAAATTGTTAGCAAAGCTAACGAAGACCTCTGGAAACAGTTTAAATGTTATTTCATACAATATAACTAAGAATGGGGTCGGTCTTATCTTTCACTATAAACATGATTGTTGTAAAGTATTTTGCGTACAGACTATTAGTCCTGAACATTTTCTTTGTGTTGAGATCAAAACCTCTTAACTACACGTCAACCGGTCACGGTAGCCTAGTGGTAAGGCACTTGCTTCGTGATCGGGAGGCCCAGGTCCGAGCTGAGTCTCCTTCGCCGTGCCGCGTCAAAACTAGAACATAAACATTAATTGTGACTGTTCTTCACCAAGTGCCCGACATTAAACGTGAGTCACTGATCTTTTGGATGCAACTTAAAAAACCGAAGTCCCGTGTCTCGGTAGGCGTTGACACAATAAAAATCCCTTACTGCTCAATGGCTCTGAGAGCTATGTATAGGTCTAAATTTGAAACCCTTCTCGGGCATACGGTGACGTCTCTATGTGAATGAAAAATTCTCGAATGGGACTAAACAACATACAATCAATCAGTACATTTTTTACACGTATTTGTCTTTCAGAGTGATGCATCATTAAAAAATAATTTCAAGGAAATCAAGTATCTGGTTTAAGGTCAAGATCTAGTAGAGGTGCTTACAGATTTCTCAAATTTGAGAAACGATTTTTTAAAATTAAGTTTTACAACTACAGCTTGGTTAAATAAGGTGTATCAGGACATAATTTTAAAGAAGAGTCAACAAAAAAGATTTTAATCTGCCATTTGCAATGAAAAATGAAGAAGATCAGGTGTAAATATGAAAGTTTTTCCATCTCAGACATCAATAATGCATCAATATTACCTACAATTGGACTTTTGAGTATGTTTACTGGGTTTTGTTTTTTTTTTATCTTGAATTCACTTTTCATTAAAATATTGCTATTCTCTGATTATTTACAGTTTTTATCCTAAACAGTAGCCAGATATTCAAATTGTATCGATAGGTAATGAAATATTTAAACAGTTTAAGTTCTTTGAATACTTTTTTTTGAAAATCTTAGGGTACAATGGAATAACCCTGTAGAGAAAAAGCTATAAAATAATAAAATCATTGTAATTAGAAATATGTCTTTAAAAAAAGCTTAAAAAGTTGGTAGTCTCTGAATGTTATTCTCGTTAATAATTCAGAATCTGTGGACTTACCGTCTGTGTTTCGCTTTTTCATTAAATTATCAGCTATCCTTTCCAGTTCGTCTTCTTTGGCTGATTCCCTTACTTTCTTATCGAATCCAAAACATATCCCTGCATCCTCAGCGGCAGTTTTGATCTCAGTGTACCCGTCAATACCATAGTTACTGTCTTCATAGAGGATACTGACATATTGCCAATCTAGAGAACTACAATTTTAAAAGTCTCTACTATTTCATCCTTACTGTTAAATGTTTCAGCTATCCTATAGCATAATGATAATTTATGTGGGCCTTTTCATGTTTTCAGAAGACAAAATTAGACTTTCCATCTTTTTGATGCTCCTTATTACCAAGGAAGCTCTAAAATTGTAGAGCTACAAAAGTATATTGTGATTATTACTTATCATTGCAAATGTTTCATCTTTCTCTCTGAGTGGATATTAAAAGGAGGAAGTTGGCGGTGTTACATATATCTATTCCAGAAAGTTTGATTGAAGAAACAGTCAGTTTCCTACTTGAAAGCAGGATAAGATAACTTAGCTGGTCGGTTTTTTTTTTTTAAAAGATGATATTGAAGGACAAGTGCATTAACAATTTGTAATTATGTTTCTTGTTCCAGTTTTGCTCTTGTTTACATATGTAAATACATACAATTAATTAATGAGCTGATTAATTATTTCTTCTCAAGGGGACTTATTTCAAACTTAGTGACATTTGCCATCTTTTTCTTTAAGTTTGTTGTGAAAATTCAAAAATTACCTTTATTTAAAGGAATAAAGTTCCAAGATAACTAGAAATATGTAGTACTAACAACTAAAAGGTATTCTCTAGTAAAATTAACCATTGATAACAAGTAAACACAGTGGGCAAAGGCATTCTTTGAATTTTCAATTTATTTTGTCGAGATAAAAACCTTGATAGAGATTTCATTATGATACAGTATTACATGTCATCACATACCGCATTATGCTGACTAATGCTTTGGCCTGGTAGGTATCAGAGGGGACCGTCCTCTTAAAGTATTTGTATTTAACATTGTCGCTCAGTTCCGGGGTTGTGGCAAAGTAGCTTATCTGTTTAAAAGAGGGAATATTGTACAACCAGACATAAATAATTATTGTCAATAAATTGTATTTCAATACAAAGCATTATACAATAACAAGAATTGAAAACTGGGTATATACCAATCATTTATTAACCTTACGAAATATGTGAAGATAACGAACAGTGATCTATCTAAAAATCGAAGGGGTTTGTCATCATAATTGTATAAGGGAATAAAACTTCAGATATCAGTTTTATTGTGTCACAATAAACACAATAAATAAATTGCGCATCACGATGTTATCCCCGTCTGTCAAACATCTGTTCTCCTTCTACAAGCTAATAACTAAAAACCATTGTACCTATGATTCGTCACGTTGTGCAGATTCACAATGATTTGATTTGAAGCTTGTAATTTGGCCCTAGAGGCCTAAAAGATGTGATCTGAGAATTAGAATTGTCATTCAAAATTCTTCATTTTAAGTGGTTGCAATATAATTCATTTTGCGTTTGATTGGTCATAACCTTAATCTCAACTATCTTCTTTGGTATATATTTCGTAGATATATGCTAATAAGCATGTCTTGAATGCTGTTTGTGACCATTATATACTGGATAAATGATCAATTTAAAGCTGTCGATGTTGTTCCAGCAGACCAGGGGCCTGTTTTACAAAAGAACTTACGACTAAGACTAAAAACTTTAAATAATTGAAAAATCTTACAAAACTTATGGTTCTGTTAAAAATTGTTTGCATAAAAATATCTTTCTAAATTCCTTTCAAAAAGATGAAAACCATTTTCAAAGTAATGCAAAAAGGAAAGTTATTTGCATAATAACATGTTGATCTTAGTCGTAAGTTCTTTTGTAAAACAGGACCCTGTCCCCTTGTGGATTTGTCTTATAATGACATCCTGTGCGTCATAATCATATTTCATCTTCCATTGATGGTGTCAATAAGGACAGATAATACTGCGATACGGATACTGTATTAACTGGAATATCTTAATTTCGGAAGTCACTATAAGTCAGTCACGACGCTTCTGTTTTATGTGACCATTTTCCTAAAGTTTGTAAAAAAAATTCATTGTTTTTCAAATGTTTACTATTCCAACGATTATCAATTGCAAGCTTGAAAAGATGTTGCCGACGGAGACCCAATCTTATTAAGGATGCTGCATGTTCCCTTATATTGCAAGGCTGATTGATTGGGTTAAAGTTTCCCAACGCATTCTAAGGGATTTATTATTTATGCAATAAAAAGTCTTTCATATTCTAAATTTAAATCTGGTCTACATATGGAATCTTTCATTGAACACACGAGTTTGAAAAACGATTTTTAGGGCCTAGACTCAAGAACTGCAGATATTTCAACTGCCACTCCTGATAGGATCTTATGGTTACCACTACATGTTTATTAAATGAAACATTTCCTAGCTTTCCGTCGCTCTGTATTTACTTGATAGAATATTAATGAAAAGATACTATGTGTATTGATTTAAAAATCATTCTTTTCGCTTAGAATTCATTTAAGAATGTAAGCATAATTTATACCTGTGGCACTTTAAACAAAGTGAGTAGATTTGCTACGTCTACTGTTTCCATGCTTCTGAGTGGCCCAATTACACCAACGACGTTGTTAGTTTCGGACAAAGAAGTGCAGTTCTGAGGCCTATTTGATTGTGAGTTATATCGCTTTTGTGCGAACTCAAGCGCATGTTGTAGTGATATGCCTGTATCAAAGCAAGAATCCCTAGCCAGTAATCCTAGAGAAAAACCTTTTTCTCTCAGATGATCATTCACTTCCGTCAGAGCAAAGATTGTCGCCTCCAGAATCTGAATCCCGTCTTGTCCGTTCACCTGCGGAGTGCAGATTCCGTCTTTGGAGTCGTGTATTGGAAAGAGTGCTCCTAAAACAAAGTCTCCTGGGATATATACCTCTTTGACAGACTTTAGAGCAAAGCAGCGTCTCGCAAAACAAGCAAACGTGATAAGATATACAATTTTTTTCTCCATATTAAAATGGGACTATATTGTTAGTAGCATATTGTGCATTTGATATATAAATTTGTTTTTTCTTTCTGTTTAAAAAGCAATGATTGGAGGATTTATATCTTGTTGGAAGGAAGGAAACAAAAACTTACGGCATCTTAAAGTGGATACAAAAAACGTAGCATTCTAAATTATCAGATTTGTGCAAACTTAAGCCATTCCTTCCGAACTATAACAAGGGAAGCATAAGATTAATCTGATTTTACTGTAATTCAAATTTTAATTGGATTCAACTTCAAATAAGTTGACATTCTCACATATGAAATATGGAGATAACGAAAACTATTCAAGATCAAAGTTCATTAAAACAATACAAATCGGGAGCAGGGCAAACACGGACCTCTAAAACATCAGAGATTTGACCAGGTCCCATTCAGGTGTGAGCATCCCTTGCCGAACGGTCACACCCGCCGTTAACTTACCTCCTTTTAGAAAGTGTTCATACGTAGAACATGCTCTTGTGTATCGAATCAACTGAGAGATATACACCACATATGCAGGTGATAAGGGTATACTGCTGCATAAGTAAGGGAAGTTGAAGAATGAAAAGTTAAAGTCATAACGTTTATCATGAAGCTTTCTTGTTAGATAACCATTAAAGTTTTTTTTTTTTTTTTTTGTAGTAAAATATCCTGATATGAAGCAATTAACTAGCGGATTTAGCTGGGGCGTCCCCCCCTAAAATTTAGGTTTAGATGGGGCGTGCCCCCCCTCCCCCCCCCCCCAAATCTAGGTTAGGTTAGATAAGATTTTATTTGTATTAAACAGCATCAAAGTGCTTTGAAAGTTACTTTACGAAGTACGATTTTTGGAAATCAGCTTTTCGATTCAGCGTCACGTGGATTGTACCTGGTTTCAAGCTATCAAAATCACGGGGAAATAGTTTCCGTCTTTTTTAACAATACAGATTATCTCTCGGCTCTACTTGATTTCAAATGAAGGACACATTTTTCTTATTATGATTTCACTTTACTTGTCTCACAACTTGAAAGGGGAAGAAAAATAGTTTTGTTATCAAAAATAAAAATGGCGATCATTGATAGACAAAAATTCAATATGCTTAATCTTTCGAGGCAATTTAAAATAAATCTAAGGCATGTGAATTGACAACATTGGCATTTAAATGTCTTAATGAAGTTTTAGAATAAATTTCTCCGATAGAGCTAAAGTCTTGAAGCTAGTTTTGAAGAGGTATCTAAAAATAGTCCACTGTGAAATCATCTTTAACCGTGGTAGTCAATGTTCGTGGACAAACGAAATTTGAGTGATTCGTTGGGAAATAATGTCATAGATAACTCCTGTATTCAAAATACATAAGAGACCGTTACATTGACAAATTGTTCGTAAGGATGTTATTGTTTGCGTTAGTGTGACCCACGAAATTCATGAATATTGGGTTCCAACGATCAACGATGATTCCACAGTAGTTAGTTTTGTATATTAATAAGATATAATAACTAAGATGAATATTAAATATTAAATCTCTGAGAAAAATGAAACACGTCATAGGAAAACCTTCTATTTATCGAGGTTTTACTCTTTTTATGAAATTTAAAGATACTTAGAATAATTTGTATGACTTTTTTGTTTATTCATTCATTTATTTATTTTGTTTTATTTTTCTAACAGATTTTCATCAGTTGCACAGCGAAGTCTATATAAATATATATATTTATGGCTAAAATTTCACTCAAATTTCATCCTGATCACTGTTCGATAAAATCTTTATATTATCAATTTCCGAATAAAGTGATTCTTTCAAAAATGAATGGAGTGGTATCCAGGCCAAAAGTGTTCAGACATGATGAAGTTGGGTTGCAAAACCAAGAAATTAATATAAGTGGAGAGGCTCAATGACGAGCAACAAGCTAGACAGCCAAACACATCTAATAAGAAAAAATGCATACAAGCTAGACAGCCAAACACATCTAATAAGAAACAATGAATACAAGCTAGGCAGCTAAACACATCTAATAAGAAATAATGCATAACTTAATTATGTATGTGAACAACGGCAGAAAGATGATGGGGTGTAATACGTAATTTGAAATAATAACCTGTGATTGAGATTTCTTTTATTTTCTTCAATCTTTTTTCCGCATTTAAATTAGCATACTGCATAGTACTGATCATGAGAAAACGATAGACCGTACATACATCACATATATTTCATAAATTAAAGCGCATAAAGCATACATTACGAGAATCCCATTAAACTATCATCATATGATTTAATAAATCTTCAGATAATTGCATAATATATTGACTAGTATTTTACAATAATTTTATTAAACAATAATAGATGAGTTGTAATACAAATGAGTATTTTAAACCATATTGCGAGTGAATTCAAATAAATAACTCTGAACATATGAGTATTGACACTAAAAATACACAAATCAATTGAAATCCTGGAAATTTAAGTGTTTTTAAAATGAACATCCGGTAAGGATTGAGACAGCCTTCTGACCGTCTTCTCTGATGCGCTGTTCTCATTTCCTTTCTCAATTATATTCTCATGGCTGACGTGTGCTTTCTGTGATTTGTGTGACGTGATGCGTTTAAAGAAACTACTCGGCTTGAATCCTATGCTTTTAATAAAGTTACCTTGGTTTTGATGTTCTGCAGTTCTTTCATCCTCATCAAATGCATTTTTGTTTTGCAAAATATCACCATTGGCTTTATGATTTGTCAACCTTTCGTCTGCTTTTATATTGTCTAAATCCTCTTTATTTCCTAGGAGTTTTTCACCACTGTTTCTGTTTAGCGAATTGACAACAATTTCGGCTTCCTCGGAATATTTCTCCGATCTGTCGATAATGATAGAGTTCTTAAAGGGTAAAGTTCCGGTTGTTGCGGAGTAGTCTTCTCCTTCTTCCTCCGTGTCGTCTGCAACTACATGTATAAGAAAAATAACGATAAAGAAAACAATTCACGATTATTTACTGTATTATCATTTTAATTCCTTAACTTGTTTTCATGAATTAATTACATATTTTACTCCAGAATACTTTTGTTAAGGTATGAACAATACAGATACAAATGGCAAAAAACAGGGTAATGAACAACATTCCTTCAAAATCAGTTCTGAAATTCTTTAATTTCGTATACTCAAAAGGTACAGAAAATAAAACCACATTTGCATTGAAATCTAAGAAATGATCAGCACCAGATATGTTCATGTGATGTACGTACCGCAGGCTGAGGAGAGCTTTCTTGTACAGTTTGTGGATGTTTTCTCCTCCAAAGTCACACCAAATGATTGCCTCTTTTCAAAAGCACGACTGCCTTGAAAACTTCCGCTGTACGAGTCTCGACTTCGACTCGGTGTGGTCCTCATGACTCGCTCTTTGTTGTTCTTCTCAGGGCGAAAAATCACAATATATATCTTAGTTATAAAGAGACATAGTAAGCAAGCTGTACCGTGAATGATCAACGATATGGAAAGGGACATAACTTTGACAAGTTTATTTTCAGAAAAGGTATAAAGAGGGATGAAGGCGATCCAGAGTACGAAAGAAGTAAAAGAACAATACATAATCTCGTGGGAATCGTTCATGCCATCTGGAAGCTTTCTTGTTTTAATTGCAAATACCAAACAAGCAATCATTAACAAGAATGAGAAGGCAAGGCTTACGAAATAGCTAAAGTTGTCTAGATCTGCACACGACAGATTACCAAGGGCTTCCTCGCGTGTTACGGAGTATTTGACTACTGGTAACGGAGTGTCCCCAATACTCCAGAAAACTAACGCAAGGAAGTGTAGTCCTGAGAGCGTCAGTGATATTACTAGGGCTGTTTTCATAGTGCAAATATTTCTGTTGAATACTGTTTGTCCCTGAATTGATTTGTTCTTTATCGATGACTGCACATCAAAAGCTCGATTGTAAACCATCAGTTTGGAAAAAATTGAAGAGTACGCCATTGTGTAACTAAGACCTAGAAACACTCTGAAGAAAGCACACGAAGCCACAGTGGGTTCACTTACAAGAATGAATGGAGAGATGTAAGAGAAAAGTATTGCAACCAGCAGGACTATACTTGTCTCAAAACCAGTGGCCTTCACTATGGGTGTAGTTCGTTTGAGAATAAAAACAACAGACACAACACAACAAATGATGATCCCAAGACTAGATAAAACAAAGATCACTAGAATGGACGGATTGTTGTAATGAAGATGATCGACAGGAATAGCCACACAAACGTTCTGTGAAGGATTGGATGTCCAACCAGAGTAGATGTCACACGTCTGACAGTTGAAAGGATCAGAAGCATTTACAATCTCTGTGTAGTCGCAATCCTTGCACTCCCAGCAACAAACCTCGCCTCTACTCCGAAACTGACCATTCTTACAAGGCACCGAACACACGGAAGCGGTGTATTTAGATCTATTCATTGTTTTCCAGATCAATTCCTGTCCAGAATCTGAAATATTGTATATCATTTAAAAAATTAAATAGATTATTGCTTTTCATATAATTTAAATTGAATTAAATCCCCTTGTACATAGAACATTAAATGACAGACATTATCAATACATTTGAACACGTTTTTGAAAACTGAAAATGGACATTAACATAACTGTTTAAAAGTTTTACATGTATATAATAAAAAATAGAAATATGCAATGTTGAACAATTCATACAATTTCCCTTTTCTATCCAGGTATAATCATTTTGCTGCCTCTTGTATTGTAAAACACTGTATCGAATGGGACCATCTCTACCATTTTCAAAGTGGAAGCTCGTGCTAAATGGGTCTATATTTAAAGAAAGCAAAACCGGGTAAATGCGATTAAATTATACATAAAGATGCGTTAACAGTCTTTTTCTCATTAAAGTCTTATAAATTGAAAAGTGTACATCAAAGCTGTACTGTGCTTTTTTTAAGGAGTGAAAATTGATCAATAAATGAAAATACTAAAGATTTCTTTTAGTTTCTTACATGCTACATGTACTCACTTG